ATGATGATGATGATGATGCATCCCTTTTTCTCTGGCGCGCAGTATGTCAGGTTTCTGGATCATCTCTCTCTCTCTCTCTCTCCTTGTGTGTGCTCTTTCCTGCCCCCTTCCCTTTCTGTCTCTTCTCCTCTCGCACCTGGTTGGCATGGATATACTTTGTACCTGTTCGCACGCTCCGTCTTCCTTCATCCTTCCCCCCCCCCCTGCTTTCTTCTTTCCTTTCTTACCCACATGGACGGACGGCATGCTCATCTTATCTCAGGTTTTACACCACCAATCTCTCCTCCTCCTCTTCTCTCTCTCTCTCTCTTTTTCTCTCTCTCTCTTTTTTCCCCTTCTAATGGACGATTTCTGGATTTATGCTTGTCATCGATTATTGCCCAGGGACCATGCAAATTTTGTGTGTATCGCTCCCGGGGCGAGGTCCCACTAGCAAAGTGGATTGGATAAATGCCCTGAATGTGGATGTGTTTTAAGCAGAGATGCAGGAAGCAGTTCAATCTCGATTTTGTGCACCTTTCCACAGAAGAGTCCAGATTCAGGCTTTCAATCCAATCCTCCTTGCAAGTGGGACCTCGCCCCCGAAGGACGCCTCTCTCTCTCTCTTTCTGTCTTTCCTTTCCCTTTTTTTTTTTTTTTTCTCTCGCACGTACACAAACTGTGTCGTTTTCCATTTTTTTTTCCTTTTTTTTTCCCCCTTCGCACGTACACAAAGTGTATGCACATCTCTCTCTTTCTGTGCACATGCAAAGGCATGCGTGCACATAACATACAAGACTAAGACGGCGACAAAACACTAGGAATATTTATTATTACTATACTATGGAGTAGTTAATTTAATGAAATAATATATAATCGTAAAAATACATGGCTGTCTCCCGATGAGGAGAAGGCAGCTTTTTTGGAAAAAAAAAAGAAGAGATAATACTAATAATGTCACAATCGGAAAATAAAATGGAAAAAAGTAATATTTCATCCCAACAGTATCACAAAATCCATTGCATATAAAATTCAATCAAAATATGAAATATAAAAGATACATAGGAATGCAGCCCCTTATTTCTTTTTTCCTCTTCTCCCTCTCTTCTGTATAGGGTTTATCAGGTAGTTCTGTATGACGACATATACAGTATAGTAATGCCTTTTTTTTTTTTTTTTTTTTTTTTTGGTATAGTAGCGAATCTACTTGTACGGTAATACTAGAGTTTTGTAGTCGTCGGGATTGTTTTTTCTTTTTTCTTTTCCCGCCATTGAATCATAGCCTACGTACATGGGCGGGGTGGGGTGCCAGTTGGCTGTCGCTCCAAGTAGTTCCACTAATGGACCAGTGTGGCACTATTGGACCTCTTGGACCTCTTGGAACTACTGGACCTCTTGGGACCTTTTGTAACTACTGGACCTTTTGTAACTACTGGAACTATTGGAACTATTGGAACTACTGGAACTATTGGAACTACTGGAACTATTGGAACTACTGGAAGTACTGGAACTATTGGAACTATTGGAACTACTGGAACTACTACTGGAACTATTGGAACTACTGGAACTATTGGAGCTATTGGAACTACTGGAACTATTGGAGCTATTGGAACTACTGGAACTATTGGAACTATTGGAACTATTCAGATCTAATAGTTCCACTAATTAGTTTGATTGATGGAGGGGTGGAATTGGACCAGGGAAGTAAGTTAGTTGCTCTTTGGCGGGGTGCCAATTAGGTGCTGTCATCCCTTTTTTTTTCTTTTTTCCCAAAGTTTTAACAGTGATGGCAATCCTGGCCATTGGTTAGGGATGGAGGAAAGCCTGTGCGATCGAGAGGGTGAGGTGAGTTTTTGCTTTTCTTTTTTTTGTTTTTTTTGAAAAGGGCGACGGCCTTGGTCAAGTCGATGACGTGAGGGTTTTAATCATGCGTCACGTGTGCACTCTCGGTGAGAGACACGTGGCGCTGTGCTTTTTTATTAGTTTATAATAGCAACTCTTTCGTCTTCTTCACGCGGGAAACTGATTGATACTCCTTGCACTAAGGTTGCCGCGAGTCGCCACTGTCTTTTTGGCGGGACGATCAAGGCGGCCGCAAGTCGCCACTGCCTTTTTGGCGGGAACGATTTAGGTGGCCGCAAGTCGCAGTGCCTTTTTGGCGGGAACGATTTAGGTGGCGGCAAGTCGCAACTTTTTTTTTTTTTTTTTTTTTAACAGAACCTTACGGTTCTGACGCAGCAAGTCGCAACTGCCTTTATGTCGGGAATGATTTAGGTGGCCGCAAGTCACGACTGCCTTTTTGGCGGGACGAGAATGGCGCCAAATTGCCAATGCTGCCAATGTCACCATCGCTGGCATCGCTGTAGCTCTCTCTCTCTCTCTCTTTGTCTATATGGCTGTTCTGCTTATCCATGATTCCCTATTATCTTTTGTTTCTATATCGCAGCCATTCTCACTGCCCTGCTTCCGGCTATAGGCTATTGGCTATTCAATAGGTCTGCTTGTTGCCGATCTTCTCATAGCTTAGAGACTATAGGCTATTCTGTTCATCTGGCAATTGCCGGTCTGGCAGTTGCTATTGGCTATTCCACAGGTCTGGCTGTTCTACCGGTCTTTTCATCGCTATAGGCTACTAGCTATTCTACAGGTCTGCCTGTTGTCGTTCTTCTCATGGCTATTGGCTATATTCCACTGCCCTGCCATTTTGCCGGTCTTCCCTTTGCTATCGGCTATTCCACAATTCTCTCTATGGTTGGCCCTTCCATTTTTTACTCCCACAATTACTCTTATCCCTAACCTTTTTTTTTTTTTTTTTTTTTTATAATTCCAAACGGAACCTCTCGGCCCTGGCTCCAGCC